GGGCCGGTAGAGCGCTTAATTGGCCACTTTCCGGTTAGTACTTCATCACCCAAGTGCCCAAACATCCCGTTGTCACGCAACAGCCGCGAGAACAACCTGGACAGTGGCTCCAACTCTACTTGCAACTGTTTGTCTCGACAAATAGTGGGGTTGCAGTCAAAGATCTTCAGCAACCCTTCCTCTAGATGCGCAACGACTGCTATCCAGTGCATCTCTTTGACAAGGATGATGCAGTACACTCTTTTAACAAAGGCCCAACTGTGGCCATATTTGGGCTGATCCCCCCGTATATACTGCATAATTCTGTCATCAAAATGAAAATCATCAAGGATGTAGTGCATCTATACTGGGGCCAATCTTTTTTGCTTCGGTCCTTTTACTGCACCACTAGCAACGGCATTTTTAAGTAAAGTATGATATGCTAAAACAAGCCTTTGGCCAAACGCCACATCAGTGATGGCACAGTTGGGATACAACAGATCACCATCAGTAGTCTGTCGTTGCCTCATCAGTGCCAATATCTCATCGATGTGCTGCATCAAATAAAAACAACAAGATAAGTATGGAAAACATAGGCAAAAATAAGGAAAATTAAGCAAAAATAACTCACCGAGTCCTCAAGCCACGTGCCCATTGTCAACAACTTCCTAAACCATTCCCAGGGATAATCCCCTATCTTACACTTTATATGGCCATTACTTCCTGATCTATTGTAATAGGCATATAAGAGTTTTTTCCTTTCCTCTATTGGCATATACAAATCAACATTTGACCGCAATTCCCCTTGCCCACTTCCTCCTGCTTCCTCCATTTTCACATCCCCGCTTCCTTCGCCTCCTTCCTCGCCCTCCTCCATTATCACCGCCCCACTTCCTCCACCAACCTCCTCTATTTTTGGTTCTTGCTCCATTTGTTTCTTAATTTTCTTCCTCTTTCCCCGTGTCATTACCATGTAAGGGGATTTCACAAACTTGCTATTCCGGCTCTCTCTTTTCAAGCCAGTCTACACTTCAACCGCCTTTAATTCTCCACCAACTTCCTCCTCCACTGTACCAACTTTCTCTCCCAGCTTATACACTTTCTCCTCTACCCTTTTCATGCACTCTTCCATCTTGTCAAACCTTGCATAAACGGCTATTGTAAAACTCTCAAACCTTGCATCAACGGCTGTTGTAAAACTCTCAAATAAGCCGTTTATGAGGTCAACAACCTCATTCTCCGGACACCGATGTCTCGGCAAAGCGGTACTTATTGTATCGGTTTGCTGAGGCATACGAACCTCTTCCTCCTCCCTCTCCTCCTCCCTCCTCCCTCCCACGATTGCACCTTCATCCTCCTCGGCGTCAACCACATTCTCAAGCAGTGGCCCTGCAATGCCCTCACATGTGTGACCCTTCTAGGTCCCGCGTTAGGCGGTCTATCCCTTCATCCCTTTGATCTCCAGTGCTCGAAAGATGTGACATAGTGCTATTGCGCTTCACCCCACGTAGCGGTGAGGAAGGGATGGACAACCCTGCAATAAGAAACAAAATCAATCAGATTTAATCGACATTTTAAAGAAAATGCATGTTCAAGCTAATCCTTTAATTACCCGAGCTGATTGAATTTCAATCTCTATTTGCTCATAATCCAAATGGGTACACTTCTAGTCATGCCACGCAACATCTTAGGAAGTGCTGTTGTACAACCGAAGCCCTAATCCTCCCCCTGCCTTAGCAGGAAGGGATGGCCTATACATCCAAGCCTACATTTAAAAAAAATAGTCCATATCATAATTCAAAAACAACATATATTAAAAAAAATATAACAAAAAGCTATTAATATTTACCTGCATTGCCCATGGGAAGCCAAACAAATTGTACGTCGCCGGTCTTTTCTTCTCGGCCCATTGGGAGTGCTTTAACTCCAGGTCTTTTGCTTGCATGGATTCCATGGTTCGCTTAAATGATTCCTGTCCCCACTTATAAGCATTAAAGAAGTTCAAGTTGCTTACAAACTTCACCCAATCAATATCAATGGCTTTTGTTGAGTCACTAGCCATTAGGATCGAATGTAAGAACAATACCAAGCACAGTTTGAATGTCTCTAAATCGTTAAACTCACCATCTTTTAACCTATCCTCTAATTCCTGTGTCTTAATAGACTTCTTCCCCGCCAAAACCTTGTTAGCCAACCTTTTGGTTCCCGTACTGTCCATTATTCTTTTTTCCTCAACCTCACCTGGCAATTCCCCACATCTTAAGCCAGTCACCAATGCATATTCCATCATCCCGAAACTTACTGGCTTTCCATCCACCATGAACCACATTTCGTGCTTTTTATTGCTTTTTATTGAGTGCAGCAACATATAATGCACTCCCGACCCCCAGAATGTCTTTTTCCATTTTGTGTCCATATCCCAAAAATGACTGAAACAAGTCTCTTTGAATCTCCTTTCACCATTCTTCACTGTCCCTAAAATCCCCGTTATTCTCGTTAAAACATCCCAACTTGACCTCACTGTCACCCTCACAGGGAAGTACGGTACTGTATCGCTTACAACCTTTAATCCGTACTCTCTATAGTTTACGCTCCGGAAAATCTGCACAATCGATATAAACAAAATATCAGCAAAAAAAATCAACCAAATCAAATATAAACAAAATACGCTCCGGAAGAATCGCTTAAGCGATGGGCAGATGATTCTGCCTCATACAAGATCTCTTAAGCGATACAAAGGATCGCTTAAGAGATTATAGATCTGCGCAGATTTGGTTCTGCCTCGGAAGAGATCGCTTAAGCGATTACAGATTGTTTAAGAGATCTTGTACGAGACAGAATCAACATCTGCCAGATCTAAGATCGCTTAAGCGATCTTTTATATTGCTTAAGCGATTCATCGATTTTACTCTTAAGCAATCCAAAATAGCTTAAGCGACCAAGAGTAAAAGCCATAAATCGCTTAAGCGATACAAATGATCGCTTAAGCGATCTTAGGTCTCGGCAAGTACAAATACGTTTTCTTCGGCGGCCTCCTCCTCCGCGGCCTCCACCTCCTCCTCTGAACTCTCGTCGGACTCCTCTTCCTGGGCTGAATTCTGCCCGGCCTCCTTTTCCCCTTCAGAACCGTTTTGCTCCTATTCTCTCTCTTGTTATGCCGCCGTCGTCTCCGCTGCTGGAACACCTTCACTGATCGGAGGATCCACCGGAACAGCCATTGAACTGCTTGCACAGCCAGACTCTACGATTCGAAGAGGCGTTGGGTTTTCCTCCTCATTGTTAAAGTCAGCCATAGTTTTAAGAAAAGAATAAGCTTTAGGATTGAATTTGGTGTGAAAATTCGCCAGAATGTGGACTGTTATCGCCGGAATGTGGACTGTTGTCGCCAGAAATTGCGTTTAGGGATTGAAGATATTGATTTTTGCCTTAATTGGTTTCGATTAAGCGATTTGAATATTTGGGGCTCTTTTGTAAATTTCAAATTTTAAAAACTTTCATTAATTATTTTTGTCCTTATATGTTTTAATCTTTTTATTTTAACCTATTTTACATGTTTAATGGATCCTAACTGTGCCACGTCAGCTTCTCTAAATAAAAAAAAAATGGTAAACAGTTTCAAGGCCATTTTTTTAAATCCAAACTTGGGATGGCCGGTCAGCTAAATTTTCTCCATATTATGAGAACACTTGGGGTATTTAATATTTGCAAAACAAATCCGTAAAAAATAAAATACAATCACATGGGTGTGGCAGTTAAAATTGATATTTTTCCAACTTTGGGGGCTCTATAGATATTTACCAAAAACATAGGGATTTAAAAGAGTAACAAGCAACAGCGCTGTTTTTTTTAGAATATGTAAAACATTGGGGTTACCCTTAAATTTTTATAATCAGAGGGTTAAAACTTAAAACACCATTAATCTACGTATTGAGATGATGGGAGGGTCCATATTTAGACCTTTATATGATGGACACGGCAGCTCACCCCACAATCAGAAAGCAAGAAAGCTCACCATTTGATCGGGAGAACGACATTTTCCCACCTCAGGTTTGGCGGAACGACCGTTTCTCAACCGTTAAGTTTCAAAATGATATTTTTCATTTTTCGTCACGTTTTGTTAGTATCTTCTTTTAATATTTGATTAAAAAATACTCTTATATAGTTTATTTTTTATTTAATTTACTATAAATTAAAATTTAATTGGGTCAAAATCTTTACTCGATTATTCATTAAGTGTAAAGATATATTTTTTCCTCTGTTTATTTAATTAATTAGAAATATTAATTTTCTATGTTAATGAGTAAAAATACAAAACATTATATTATGAAAAATATTATAAATTTAATAGATTATTAAATAACAATGATGGGATATTTATGATATTATAAATAAATAAATATTAAGGTCATTTAACTTTAAACAATGTTATAGTATTGCTCTTTAACTTTTTCGGTGGGGTTAATTATTTTTTCTTTTTTGACTTTTTGGTAACTTAAAAAATAATAAAAAATTTATAAAGTCAAATATTTTAGGGTATTTTTATCTTTTTAATAAAATATTAATAAAAAATATAATGGATAAGTGCCATTTTAAAACTTGAAAGGTAAGGAAGCGTCTATTGGCCAAACCTTGGGTGAGAAAATGTCGTTCTCCCCCATTTGATCACAGAGACGACATTCAATTTTTGTTAAACGGGACACTTTTCATTTCAACTGGGGATATCAAACGTCAGGCCAAAAGCCATTTTCATTCAGTACTAACATGGCAAAGAGCAAATTGAGGCTTGAGCCATATAAAATGTGGGGGTGTTGCAGGAAAACTCTAATAAATATCTTAGCCTCTGTTTAAAATAGTGGCTGAGTGAAATAATTGGGCTGACCAGTTTTTGTTCTTATAATAATGGGAGGAAATCCAAAACGAAGCAGTTAAGTATAGAATAGAAAGCGACAACTTTAAATATAATTGATGACACATGCTGCCATGACCAGAAGCACAAACTATGTCCTGCATATAAAATACATTTCAACTCTTTTAACAACAGCAGCACCGCCACCAAGACCAAGAACTTGATGACTTTATTCAACTTTAATTGTCAGTTAAAGCTCTAGAAATTTGTATGTCGATAATCAAATTTGTGGTTTCTTTTTAGTTTCACCTTCAAGTTAATCAGGTAATTGCATCAACATAGTAGCATGATATATGAAATATGATTTGGGTTTACTGTTTTATTGGTTCCTGCAATGGTTTTTGTTTCAGTTTGCATGCTTAAGTAGCAAGATATTTTGTAAAAATGGAACAATCATTGACAGCTTTGTGTTTTGAGTCTCACAGCTCCAGTTTGCTTCTTCATCATTAATTTCGTAAAGATTGAACCATATTACTGCTAGAACAGATCGGTTGACTTTTATTCGTTTCATCTCTTTCCTGTTTGTGTGTTGATTTATTTGCCTTAATTGATTGAGCCCAACTTTAGCAATTAACATGATACCCAGTTGGGTGCATGTGAACTTTTGGGGTATTGAAGTTCAATTTGCTCTAATTTGTTTGTCAGAAGTTTATATTGATGGTAGTTTCAGTTCTAACATTGAGAATTATGAATTGATTATTGAGGTTAGATCTGCAAGTTTCATGCCCCATAATGTGAATCTTCTTTTCTTGGTCTGTGAGAGAGAGTATTAGTTCTGGTAAATGTATTCAATTTGTTTAAGACAGGCTACTCTGAATTGGCATAATAATGATGATTACAGGGCAGCATTTTCGCTACACTGAATAAATCATGTTTTTGACTAGCAAGCATTCTAGAGCCAACAATGAGACATAATCTTATGGAATTCACAAGCATAATCTTATGTTCATGTATTTTCCCTTTAAATGTGACAGGCCAAAAAAGAATACTATAGTCTGTATGAACACTCAGGTCAAATATAATCTAGCACTGAAATCATGAACTCTTTCGCTGGCTGCTTTTGTCTGAAGAAAGCTAGACAGAAACGTGGGTTTGTGGACCCAATCATTCTTGCTTCTGAGACACCTTGTAAGTAGCAAATTGATGAGTTGGTGTGCTTAGGAAATTTGGATTGAAATCTTAGATACTTCATTTTTCTTCTGGAAATTCACAATTCCATTGTTTCTGCATTAGCCATCTTCTTGTTTTTCAAAATTGCCAGCACAATCAGCCAATACCACTCCACAAGAGTGTAGTTGAGTCAGATGTGCTACTGGTTCTACTGTAATATGCCTTATATCAAGCATCTTGGCTGGTCTATGCTAATATTTGCTGTTTGTGTTGATGCTTGGGCCATGTCAGTGGCACCTGCAATGTCAAATATAATCCATATTACTTGCAACCTTTAGCTTTGTCAATATCATATATGTTTCGTCATGACATAAGCAACTGACACTTATCTTACTGAATGTATGATGCTTTTGAAGTTTTATATTTGATTAACATTTGAGCATTCTATGGTTGATAATAATCTATTTGTTTTCACATATCTGAATACAAAGTATTTTTAATTTCTGGGTAGTTACTTTGAATGAAGTGGAGGCTTTGTATGATTTGTTCAAAAAACTAAGCAGCTCCATTGTTGATGATCATCTTATTCACAAGGTATCTTCCTCTCATGTTGCATCTTATCTTTTATCTGTACAGTAAGTTAATTTGGACTAGTTAGTGACTTGGTGTGCCTTCTGAAAGCATGATTTTCCAGATTAATAGAGGAAATTTGCTCTTTTACTGGGTATGATTTTTATTGTACAAGAAGTGCTAATTTCTTTTGACGCTTTTTGTGCAGGAAGAATTCCAGCTTGCACTTTTTGAGAACAGCACTAAGCAGAATCTTTTCGCTGACAGGGTGTGTTTTATTGCAGTACTTCTTCATTGATTGATTGCTTAAGACTTTATGACTAATCTTGAATTCTATCTGCTTGTTATGTTGAGTTTGTGAAACTATTTGATCTCTTCGGATAATAGCAGCCGAATTAAATCAGTAAGAGTAATACTACATTTACAAAGTCCCCATACAAAGATATATGTACAAAGTGATGTGTCATACCATGATTGGACAATGAATTTGACTTTAGTTAAAAAGTTGACTTTACAAATTCACTCTCCCAATCATAGTATGACACCTCACTTTGTACACACATCTTTGTATGAGGACTTTGTAAGTGTAGTATTATTCAATCAGTAAACCATCAAATTCTTGTTACCTTGTTGGATCATCATTTAGTATCTGGACAAATACAAAAGTGGGTTCAGTCTTCAGAGCATTGTAACCTAGAGACCGTTACAAGACAGCTCGATCGGGAAGTAGCATATCTTTAAAGAAAAAAATTCGGTTACAAGGTATTCGCCCTAATTGAATAAAAGCTATCTTGAATAAAAAAAACGTATTCGTGGATGGGGAAGACCAACTCTCATTCAAGGAAGTGGACCGTTGACGACAACAGGCCGGGAAGGACAGATGCTACTAAAAAAGCCGATTATTGCATGTTTCTAGAGGTCGTACTTAACCCGTCCAACCCCTTAAAACTCGTATAAAATCAAATAGATCATTCCGAACCTTTTTCTCATGTCGCTACCAACTAAAGATCAGATATGACCGGTTGAAGAAAGAAGAAAATATCGATGAACGATTAAGCAATACTTTGCCTTAAACATTTGTCCAATGTACAAAATTTATAGCAATGTAGATGTTTATTCAGAGATGGGTTGTGATGTATATATGCTTGTGCAAACTAAAATTCACCAAGTTGATATAGTTATAAGAAATTATTTGCTGCAAAATAATGATGACTTCTCTTGCAGGTATTTGATTTGTTCGATGTTAAGCATAATGGTTTTATTGCATTTGGAGAATTCGTTCGGGCACTGAGTGTTTTCCATCCAAGTGCTCCAAAAGAAGACAAAGTTGCATGTATGATACTATATATCACAACAGGAAAGCATGCCTTCTTTTTCCTCAAACTTGTTTGTCAACCTTACTTTTTTCTTTGATCATTCATTTATGATTATTTATATGCATAAACTATTGTTTTCCCAGCTCTATCAAATACGTTTAGGATCCTAACACCGAAAAATTTTCTTTATAGTTGCATTTAGATTGTATGATCTTCGGCAGACTGGTTACATTGAGAGGGAGGAGGTGAATACTCATCAACTTTGCTCNCTGGACCTGACCGTCACCCTTGCAGAGAAGTAGGGCACCTTATCACTTATAAGGTCCAACTCGTAGTCTATGATGTTTACGGCCCGCACAATCTGCACAATCTGCACAATCGATATAAACAAAATGTCAGCAACAAAAATAAACCTAAACAACTAATAAACAAGATATCAGCAACAAAAAATTACGACTGTGGTCAGTTAAGCGATGTCAGATCGGTTAAGAGATCTTGACTCTGCCTCATGCAAGATCACTTAAGCGATTTTATATCTATGATTATGACTCGAAATGATCGCTTAAGCGACCAAGAGTCAACTTAATCAATAGCTTAAGCGATATAAAGGATCGCTTAGCCGATCTTAGATCTGGGCAGATGGAGTAAAAGAGGTTAATCGCTTAAGTGATACAAATGATCGCTTAAGCGACAGTTAAGACGTACCCTTTCTTCGCCGGCCTGCTCATTCTCATAGGCCTCCTCCTCATCGCCTGAATCCTCGGAAGACTCCTCCTGCCCTGAATTCTCGCCGGAATCCTCTTCCTGGCCTGAATGATTGCCCGACTCCTCGTCTTCAGAACCGTTTGATGATTCTTCCCTCTGTTCTTGTGCCGCCGGCGTCTCCTCTCCCTGTCAACCATGTTCACTGATCAGATGATCCACCGGAGCAGCCATTGAACTGCTCACGACACCGAAATCTAGGATTCGAAGTGGAGTTGGGTTGTCCTCGTCATTGTGAGTGTCAGCCATGGTTTTGGATTGAATTTGGTGTGAAAATTTGTAGTTTGGATCGGAATATGGGCTGTATCGCCGGAAATCACGCAGATTCCATTTACGGTTCAAGAAATCGATTTTAAGGTTCAAGAAATCGATAGAAAATCGTGACTTATCACAGGAAATCGCGACTATATTCCATTTAGGATTCAAGAAATTGAGTTTACGATTGAATATGGTGTGGAAATTTGTGGGGTTGGATAGGAAATCGCCTGTCTCCCTTTGGTTCAAGAAATCGATTTTTGCCCTAATGAATTTCGATTAAGCGAGGTGAACAGTTAGTGGGGCTTGTTTTGAGAAATTTCAAATTTAGAAAAAAAAAATTTTGTCTATTCGACCCAAATATGTTTTAATCCTTTCATTTTAACCCATTTTAAGTGTTTAGTTAGTCGCGCTTGGTTGGTTGAGCGATCTCTTCCNATTTATACAGACAATGCTGGAGGCAGATACAAATGGAGATGGTAAGATTGATATTGAAGAGTGGAAGGAATATGTGGCAAAGAATCCAAACATCTTGAAGATCATGACTCTTCCACATTTAAAGTGAGTCCTGAAACACCCTATAATTTACTGCTGGCTCATTCTATATCTTCAGCTTCATTTCTAATCAAACTTCGAATTGTTTATGTAAGTTTTGTTGCTTATATGATGTCTGATGACAAAATGAAATGTTACTAATTATATTCTTGATCTTTTGGTTTGTCCCTTTCAGGGAAATAACTCTATCATTTCCCAGTTTTGTGCTGCACTCTGAAGGCCAAGATTTGAAATGATTTGTGAGTAGGAATGGTATCAGATTCTCTTTTCCTGGAGATGCTTGAAACATTCCGAATAATTCCTTGCTGAGAACTGAAAAGCATTAGTTTTTGCACCTACAAAATTGTGGAGTGTATTAAATAATAGAATCTAGATTTCTAAAGCCCCCTTTTAAGCTCACTCGTATGCAACACGATGAGATCAACAAGCTTACATCTTGGTAGCTGTTTTTTAACGACACATTTGACTGCTTACTATAAGGAATTTGTGATCTTTGTTTGTAAATTATAAATTAATTCACATTGTCAACGCTCATCACCTGATTGGACAAACGTTCAACTTTTTGTCTAACGAAACCTAAATATATTCATGATTTTGATTTTATTTTCCTCAAGACTTATTGTCTATTTAGTGGTGCTTAATTAAAGAGGAAGAATTCTTGCTATTCCACTTTATTTTGATGGGGTTTGTTCTGTCTTCTTTATTCCCTTTAACCATGACCTAACAACAAGCAGATACTTGAGACCAGAAATGCAACTCAGATGTTGATACTTACCGGACTTTTAGAACTTTAATCATTCTTTCGACGTGGATGCATATTGTTTGTTCAAACAAAGTACAACAGCTTGTTTCTTTTCGCCCAAGTTTGACAGGTTTAGAGTCAACCAAAATCACAGGTAAAATGGGCATTTATCCTCAGCCAGAAATAATCTAGATTTTGAAGGATATATCAGCACTGTTATGGTAACTTTCTGGCAGTCACAACAGAAAAATGTAAAGAGAACACACCCCAGTTAGTACTATGAGATTACAAAGAATTTTTACAATCTGTAATATGAACTCTCTAATATTCAAGTTTAGAGTCTTTAATCCATTTATTCTTGTGATAAGCAAGATAGCTAACTTGCATCAAAAGATTCGATTCCTGAAAGCTTTCTAGTACCTGAGAACAAATAAAAATTCGGGTCAAGTTGAAAACTTTAAAAAACTGGGAACATTATAAAAGGAAAGGGCTGCCTCCTCACCTTCAATCCGAGGTTATATTAGCCAGCTCACATGGGCACATATGCAACTATGAGTATTTTCTCTCTCATCAATCTTATCATGGTTTTTAAATTGACCACAATTTTTTGAGCAACTAGCACCTGGACTATCTTTACAATTAATGTGACCTCTTTCTGCTTGGATCAAGCTATACCTGGGTTTAGATTTGACTGCATTTTTTTTTTTTACCTGAGGTGTTCAGATGGAATCCACCGCGGCGGCCCCCCAGATAAATTATGGACAAAGGTACTGCCTTTATACCCAGTAAGAAATCGAACGTGAGACTATGAGTTTAAACCATTTGCAGCTCCTTGGTTCGTTCTTATAGCTGGACTACTCAGTGAGATATGCAATATTTTCTTTAAAAAAAATTTCATGGTCTTAAATAAAAGAACAGGACTAGCGAGTCTTGCTACAACAAAGTGCAACTATCAAGCGATTCCAATTTAAATCGTTAAGGAACCTGCATGTTTCCAATACCAGCCATATGGTTAGTCAATCAACTTTGCAAAAGCGTCCTTAAAGCATTTTCACATTGCAAGGTCTCGGAATTCTATTTATGGAACTGGAGCACGATTCTAGCAAGTCCTTGTAGCTGATAAATACAAAGTTTACACTACCTTTAGCTCTGAGAACGCTTTGTCAGTCGATACTATTGAGCCTATAACATGGGCTGCGTTTGCATGAAGCAGCAACTCAAACATAGAGATAAAGCAGCCCTTGCATCTCAAACCTGTTGTGAGTTTCATTTACTTTGTATTGAATTACTCATTTTGCGTTTAGATTATGGGGTTTTTTCTTGTATTCTCACTCTCTTTTAGCTTGTATTCTGCAGTTAATGAAACTGATATTGAAGCTTTGTACCAGCTCTTCAGGAAATTAAGCAATTCTTTAGATGATGATGGGCTGATAAGTAAAGTGAGTTCCATCATTATACAAAATTTGATATCATTTCGTTCTAAATTTAGTTCTGATTATGCAGGAAGAGTTTCAGCTTGGCTTATTTAGAAACAGCAAGAATCAGAGTCTCTTTGCGAACAGGGTAGCTTCCAGCTTTAGTTATGTAGTTGTTTATGATTTGCTACTTGGAAGATTTAATAATCTGAAACTTATGTTTCTGCTTTGCCTCAAATGATAAAGGTCTTTCAACTATTTGACTTAAACCATAATGGAGTCATAGAATTTGGAGAGTTTGTTCGATCTCTGAGTTTTTTCCACCCAAAAGCACCCCTGGAAGAGAAAGTCAACTGTATGAAAATCCTTCTTATATCTTTGTCTGTGTCGGCAGTTTCTTTCAAAAGCGTGTATTAAATCTTGTTTTTCTGATATGGCAGTCGCATTTCTACTATATGATATATGGCAAACAGGCTTCATCGAACGGGAAGGGGTAATCGGGTTTGTTTACACCTAGCTGCCGATTTATCTAATACTTAATGTGTATAAATTATTGCTATCTAAGTTGCAAATGTAATTTTGAACTCACCTGATGAAGGTTAAGGAGATGATTTTGGCACTTCTAAGGGAATCAGAGTTGATTCTTTCTGATGAAATGATTGAGATCATTATTAATAAGGTACATATATGTGATTTTCAAGATGATATATTCACAGATTGATCTAAGGATGTTCTTGACTGATCATACTTCCACCTTGTATAGACATTTGAGGATGCAGATTCGAAAAGAGATGGAAAAATTGATAGGGAAGAGTGGAATGAATTTGTAGCTCGTAATCCATCCTTGCTAAAGAACATGACAGTCCCATATCTGATGTAATTACTTTCATCCAGCTTCTATTCTATGATTTATATTCATTTCCTCTAAAACTGTCTTTAAACTGATTCCTTTCTAAGGTCTATTTAACAGTTTACATAATTTCATTTGTTGCAGGGACATTCCAACTGCATTTCCCAGTTTCGTTATGAGTTCAGACATGGATGATGATATCAATGGCATCCTTTGAAAAGGACAACACTAACTACAAAGAATGAAATATGTATTAATATTTGCCAGAATACATCAATTAACAATTTGGCAATGTCACATTTACGCAAAAATAATATCAGCTTTTACAATCTTCTGACCTGTGCTGTGTCCATGCAAGTTTTACACTACAAATTACACCAACAGATGCAAAAGAATGGGCACCATATATAGCAAACTGCGGGCCTAAATGTTTTATTGATCAAATTACAGCTTTGTAGCAACCATGTCCTCCAAATTCATGGGGTAGCACATTTTTGTGTGCAGACCATTCCAGACATTGTCTGCTAAAATGGCATTCACTGCATCAGTTGGATGAAACTGATCCCACCAGATATGATTTGAAGCATTGCTACAAGCCATTTCCGGTGATATGCACATTATCCACCCTTTATACTTCCCTAATCCGCAGCAAGCATCAGTAGTAAAATCGAAACCTGAAAGAGAGATGCATAATACATTAGATATTTTATGCTACTGAAAAATCTTTGAATTGGTAAAGATGTTGAAATAATCTGTTACCATAATGCTCATGATTCTGAATTATATCCATGGAACCTTCATACATATCACAAAAGATGATATCGGAATCCGGAAGCTCCTGACGAAGCATCTTAACCATGTATCTCATGACAAAATTAAACTCCAGGATCATGTCATTTATCTCCTCAACACACTCTCCATTTCTACCGTACTTCCACAGGTAGTGAGGAGCACAGCCAATAGGTGCCATCCCCATGAGCACCACTTTCCTGACATTTATGTTATACAGATTCTGTTTTATCAACATTACACATTAAAATAGTTCAGATTGATAGTACTTAAAAACTAAATCACACAAAATTATCTGAAACATCAGATTCGGATACTCGCCTTGATTTCCCGCCTCACGTTAGATGCCAAGAACTGGTTGAAACTCCATGGCAGGTACAGATTTTGCACATCAGACACGTTAGGAAGATAGTAATGTATATAGTCATTAATCCCAATGGAAAGGTAAAACACTGAGTTTGAGATCAAATGAGCTGTAACATTCTCTCCCATACTTAAAATAAACTGCTGATAGGTATCTGTGAACTGCTGAATTTGCTGTATTAAGGAGATGTGTTGGCCCTGCAACATATTACAACAACAATGAATATGGCTAGTTTCAATTGAACTCTGAAATTCAGGGATACTTGAGAATCGGTGAACATACCAACTCTGACCCGCTTGAGAATATAATTCCAGCACCAGCAGATGCATAATTCACCCCTTGAATCATATCTTTAACGTTACCCTTCTGCCCAAGATAACTAGGAACAAAGGGGAGCCCCAGGCGCAATGCTAATCAAAATATCAAAACAGAAATGCCTTGTTTGTTAAAATTCAAAGATCTAGTGAACCCAGTTCAATTATCAAACTGAGATTAAGTGATCAAGATTTTTTTTTTTTTTTTTTTTTAAACAAAAGACTTAGCAAATAAACAAGAATTGAACAACAAAGAATATTACATTTTCTTGTTCTTAACCTAACTCCACTTTCTTGGCAACCAAACAGATAGAAATTAGCCGAAAGGAGAAAATAAGGTGACCAAAGATAACATTTTGTAGCTTTTGTTTTCTAGTCTACTTTCTTGGTAAAGATGACCAAAAACGAAACCAAGAAAATGAAAAAATATGTTACCAAGATAGTCGACTGGGATTCTTCCATTACTGAATCTTCCAGTGGGTTGGTGAGAATCGAAGTCTCTTCCATAGGGAAGACGATCGGCTCGAGCAAAAGTACCGAGGTAGTTGTTGGTGCCACAGTCAACAGAGGAGTCGCCAATGATGAACAGAGCCGGGACCAGAGCAGCAGGAGAAATTGGTGGTCCAGCAGGTGGTATTGAGATTGATGTACTGCCTAGTTCAAGAGCTTTTGAGGCGTTAAAGATGGTGGATATAACGAGTGTGAAGAGAAGAAGAAGAAGAAGATTGATTGGCATCGTCTGTTTGAGAGAGGAAGAGAAATTGGCGGGTAGGGAAGCGGCGGTTGAATATATTAGGAAAAGACGAAAATCACCTCGAGGCTCAAGAGTTCAGTTTGCATTAGCGGATGTAAACTTAATAGTGGGCTGGGCTGGGCTGGGCTGGGCTGGGTTGGGCTGGATCCAAATCAGAAAACCCAATCCGTTAGATGTTGGTTGGTTTGGGTAACGGGTTTTGACATTTCAAGTTTTCAACCCAATCGAAATTGGATTCGAATCCGATTCTAAAATAGTACAAAAAGAATGCATACGTGGCACAAAACGTGTTCAGTCCTCGTCGCCGACCATAACGGAATATCCAGACAGACTCCAGTTATCCACCAACGGCTACGAGGAGCGTCACCTAATGATTATTAGGCTGACACGTGTCCTGAAGCATGTTAATAAAGTTGGAAATTATCTTATTCTTACGTGCGGGTGTCAGTCAGTCTGTCTGGCGGTGACTTTAAGTTTTAATATTAGGCCACCTCTGACTTTGTACTTGCATACCATACATAATATTAATTTAGTTTAATTAAAAAATTACTCCTCAGAACAAAACAATATGTAGGCCCAATTAGTTGATGCCACATGAAGAGATATAATTTTAGGGCCCATAGATAACATTAATTATCATAATGTTATATTAATTAATAATCAATTAATTCAATAATGTAACCCACTAAAGCAAAAGCGAAATGAGGACCACATTTCCCATTGTTTTTCAATTGAATCATGTCATCTTTTTTTTTTTCACTAAAGCGTTTATATCAGTTTACGCACACTATAACTAATCAAAGAGAAAGACTAATGTAATAATCTATTGTCACAACCCCCATTTAAATCTTAAAAACATGAACGATTCAAACCTGAAATTATACGCTCATTCTACCACTCGAAGTATAAAAAATGGGTCATATGTAATCATAAATCTTACACAAACACCCCCAAATATTTCTTTATCCTTTCCACAAAAATTAAAGCCATTCTTATTGCATTGAATATCTCGCATAGGTGCATGTACCCACTGAATCTTTTGAGGGAGAGGAACCTTCCTCTTGTTGAGTCTGCTAATTGCAGCCACATAATTAACTTAATTAATTGCAATTAGTTGTTTTTAAAGATATGTAATAAGGATTCGGGACCCTTTTCAAGTGCCACGGCAATGGACTCGCTAATTATTATTATTATTTTTTTATTTTTTTATTTTTGGTAATCGAGAATTTGTGGATTTATTTATACATACTTTAATTAATCATTTGGGATCCTAAAATTGATAATCAGATAAATTTAAATTTCATCAGTAACCACTCTATTAATAATTTAGATGGATCGAATTCATAATTTTTTAAGTAATATACTTAAAAATCTTAGTTAATCGTTAGATCACCCGGTGGTGATTATGGGTTTGCTCATTAATTCAAACCCAAAGCTTACATTAATTAATTAATTTTGCCAAGAAAATGAGCGTCACCCACAATTTATGTTACCTCGTTCAATGAATTATGATCATATCCCAATTTTTATTTTTATTTAATATCATAATTAACCTTCTTAATTAAATTAGTATACCCTATTTTGGTAACATGGCTTCTTCACTGCTTCTGGCTTAAATTAATCCAAGTAATTAGTAGTTAATTAAGCTTAAACTTTGATGGGTGCCGTTAAACAAAGAATCCGAGACAAACAGACAATAAATCTCAGGAGCCAAACTATCATCCCCATTGGATTTGCACAACTAATGTACTACCTCCAGCTGACAAGACCACGTCATATTTCTCGTTAAGTTAGGGTCGTTTGCGTTAGTACATCCGTCATCCAAATCCAGATACTTTCTGTACGAACGCTACTGTGTAGTTAATAATAATGAGAAACGGATACATTACCTTCTGTACAATGACGTGATTACCCTTAATTTAATTTTTAATAAACATGTGCAATATAACTATAATTAGGGAACCTGAGAGGGTATTGTAGTCATTACATACGTGCGCCTTCCTTGAAGGTATTCGGTATCGAGTGGGGGAACGAAAGCGCTTTCTCTTCTTTTAATAAGGAGCAAAACGGCCGTTACAAACAGAAAACGGCGTCGTAAAATTTTTAAAAATTGAAAACACAATCCGTCATAGTCGTTGAGTCAAAAGCTTACATAGAGCTAACGGCTACAATACCGTTCTTTCTTTTTCTCTCGCATCACCGGCGACAGTTCTAACGGAAACAGAAAAAATCGGCGAAAAAATCGGCCACCACTAAAACCGAAGACACCAATTGTGGCAAAACGGATACTCGTCTGCTCAAATTAGTGGTGTAACTAATCGCCATCACTAGTGGAGAAGTAGATCTTTAAATACTAGGCTAATCGTTTCATTACACTTCGGTTCTTTGGAGGGTAAAGAATCCGCATTCTAGAGTTTTTAAGCTTTTCTCAGTTCGCTCCTAACATGATAAACAGTTCCTTTCATGTCCTTGCTTTTCTAATCTCACTTCTTTGAACCCAGGAGCTGGAGCTTTTCTGAATCATAATCTAATTTCAGCTTCTGGGTTTTTGTAAATTATTTAATTTTATTACTTTTTTGTTTGTTTTAAATATGTCGATTGCTGATATTGCGTTGAATCCCTGTCATTTGCCCCGTTTGTTTAATGAGCGAGCCGGACGGTCCAATTCTAGCGAGTCAATCTTGATTTTTCTTAGTGTCTGTGGTTCGTTGATCCCAATGCGTGTGTTGGAGACTGATTCGATTGAATCAGTTAAGCTTAGGATTCAAACATGTAAAGGTTTCGTAGTGAAAAAGCAAAAGCTTGTGTATGGGGGCAGAGAATTGGCACGAAATGAAAGTCGTGTGAAAGATTATGGTTTGACGGGTGGGAATGTTTTACATTTAGTTCTTAAGTTGTCTGATCTTTTGCTTATAACTGTTAGGACAAGTTGTGGGAAAGAGTTTGAGTTTCATGTTGATAGGTTTAAAAATGTTGGATATGTAAAGAAGCGGATTGCGAAGAAAGGACATGATTTTGATGATATTGATGATCAGGAAATTTATTGTGATGGTGAGAGGCTTGAAAATCAGAGATTGATTGATGATATTTGTAAGGACAATGATGCTGTCATTCATTTGTTAGTTCAGAAATCTGCAAAAGTTCGAGCTAAGCCAATTGACAAAGATTTTGAACTTTATGTTGTGGCGGCCAATGCAAATGAGGGGAAACAGACAGAGAGCTTAGATGGAGCAGCGTTAGAGAACCAACCGAAGGAGTTTCGAGTTGTAAATAGAGAGCCATGTGTTAGAGATTTCTGGTTAGAACCTGTAATCGTTAATCCTAAAGTGGATTTGCCTTCTGTGGTTTGGAATATGATTAACTCTACATTTGATGGTTTGGAGAGAGGTAATAAGCCAGTTAGGTCATCTGAGGGAACTGGAGGGACTTATTTCATGCAAGATTCATTGGGTTTGGATTATGTTTCTGTGTTTAAGCCTATTGATGAAGAACCAATGGCTGTGAATAACCCACGCGGACTACCTGTGTCATTAGATGGTGAAGGATTGAAGAGAGGGACTAGGGTTGGAGAAGGAGCATTGAGGGAAGTCGCAGTGTATTTATTGGATCATCCCAAGAGTGGTCCTCGTTCATTATCAGGTGAAACATTGGGATTTGCTGGCGTACCCCCTACAGTTATGGTTCAGTGCTTACATGAGGAATTTAACTATCCAGATGGGTATGAATATGCGGCAGAAAATGTTAAGATGGGGTCACTACAAATGTTCATGAAGAGTTATGGGAACTGTGAGGACATGGGCCCTGGGGCTTTCCCTGTGGAGGAGGTGCACAAAATCAGTGTGCTTGATATCAGGATGGCAAATGCAGATAGACATGCTGGTAATATATTGGTTGGCAAAGGGGATGATGGTCAGACTATTCTCATTCCAATTGATCATGGCTACTGCTTGCCTGAGAATGTAAGTGTTTTTTTTTTTTCTTCCCAAAAACTTTTACTCTTGTCAATAGTTGCTTTAATTCGCTGTGGTCCTTTTTTTTTTTTATGGAATAGTTTAACATTTATGCAATGATACATGGGGGATGATAATTTGATGTCCAAATTATCAGCTTTCATGTGGTTGAAAGGCTTGGTTGAGTTGTATCCTGGAGGAAAATTGTCAGATAGGTGAACATAAGGGGTGGAAAAACTGGTTGCATGTTCAACCATTGGCTGGTGGCTTATCACTTTTGAGGCTGGACAGATTGTTCAGATGGGTCAAATGTGATAGTTAGTTGAAACAATGTTGTACTGGTTGGTCAATCTGAACTTGCCTGAAAAAACTTTTTGCATTTTAGGTTTTTACTCAATATTTTTGGTTTACTTGAAGCCAATAGCACAGGCAACCAGAAATTTCTGCCCCATACTGTGTCAACATTTTGTTCAACTTGCTTTAAGCCTGTGGTGATTGTTTCAGATGACATTCTATTATCTTGGCATGCGTTTTTTTTTATTTGCTTTTTTTACCACTCCGCATACCACCTTGGTATAATTTACTCACCTTTATGTGTTGTCATCCAAATTGTTAAACTCTGTCTGACAAAAAATTAGAATGATCATTTGGTTTCTAAATTGCAAATCCTTTGTTCTGTTTGCAGTTTGAAGATTGTACCTTTGATTGGCTTTACTGGCCTCAAGCTCGAAAACCTTTTTCTCCCGAAACAATTGACTATATAAAGTCCCTGGATGCTGAACAAGACATCACACTTCTGAAATTTTATGGGTGGAATGTTCCCCTTGAGTGTGCCAGAACACTCCACATCTCCACCATGCTTTTGAAGAAAGGAGTAGAGAGAGGTCTCACTCCTTACGCCATTGGAAGCATCATGTGTAGATCAAATGTGAACAAGGAATCTGTAATTGAGGAGATAGTTCGTGAAGCACAAGATTCCTTACTACCTTTCATGAGTGATGTTTCATTTCTCCAAACCGTTTCTGAAATCATGGATTCCCGGCTTGACAAGATTAATCTATAATTTCTTCTGGTTCGTATATATATATATATATATATTTGTATGTATTAAGTCGATGAACAGTCCATTTTTGGATGGACTGCAGTTGCAACGATCACCGATGGTTCATATTGTTTTAAATGGGCCTAAAGCTTTTAATGTTCTTTCACTTCTGTCAACTATTATTGGTATTGTATTGGCTGGCATGTTGAACAGAAGTTTAAGATGATGAATAATATGTCTGCTCAGATTATATGGATCTCAGAGTCAGAGGTTATGCTCAAACAGGAGCTTAAAAACCTGGTTCTTTGTAAATTAATCTGTAGTAGTGTCAGTAGTCAGTATAGAAGTTTGGTTTATAGGTAAAGTTGTTGCTGGACGGGATCCCCATCTTCCTAAATGTAGAAGTTTATGATGTTAATCTGTGCTGCAAAATTAAACAGAAAAGAGAACATATTGGAAGCCAATGAAATATACAGTATACAGCTTGTATATATGTATGTATGTATATAGCTTAGATTTTGTAACTGGTTGTGTTTGTTATTTATTGCAAAGCTCCAATACCTTTCTTTACACCTTTTGTACCTCTGAGATTCTTTGGAACCCAATCTTTTAACATACTTGTTCATCAGCCCATCAAAATGGTAATAGTAATGGTCTTGAGTTCGGGCCTAATTTTAACTTTGTGAAGTGAGGGCCCTTTTAATATGGCGTTCCAGAAAGAGTAAATAACTTTTCCCACCCAAGGTTTGCCTTAATGACATTCCCATCTAAAAAGTTTTAAAATACTATTTTTTCACTCAAAGCTGATTCCAACGGCTAAAATTCTCTCTGCCACTACAATCTGAACCTCTGGTCTCCTCTCTACAAAACCACTGTCACTCTGGTACCTGATTTCTCGCTAATTGGCGGTCATCGCAAAGCTAGAGTTTAATTTTCTTAACTAATTCAATCAGCGAATGTTCAATCGATCACTACCATTCTATCCACCGCCCTCCACTTTACAAAACCCCTCTTATCCTGGCTCTTGGTAATTCGCTGAATGCCAATTGAGAAAGTGAAGTGTATTTTAAGTATTAATAGAATATAAACTTTGGGTGGAAAAGTGGTATTTAGAAACCTTTTGGGTAGAAAAAGTGATTAAGGCAGACCTTAGGTGGGAAAAAGTTGTTTTCTTTTCCAGAAATGGTTAACTTGTTGGGCTTGTGATTGTATTGTTACTGATCATGTAGAGTAGAGCCTCGTTAACCGTTAGATTTGATGTTCCAAGGGCCGATATTGGGTCTGTAACAATACCGGAGCAATAACATATTATATTTCCAAAACGATTCGTATTAGAAGAAGAAGGCGGCCTCAGCTAAATGCCAACAATCAGAACTCCATTATTGCAAGTTGGCAAATGCTTTCTTTTCTGGCAGGAAGTATTCACTGAGTACGGATGGAGACTTTTCCTGAAAAAGGGTCAATAGCTGCTTCTGTTTCCCGCCATTTTCAACAGTGAAAAGTCAGTTGTAATTAGTGTAAACATCTTTGTATTGTATGTTGACATTAACACCATTCATCAACACCTCAGTTTGAACATTTAAAGCTGGATCTTTAGGTTTGCCACCATTAAAACAGGCTAACCATTAATAGCTAAACCTAATTCTTCATCTTTCCCTCCTCCAATCTCCCATAAAGTCTTTTTCATTTTTCTTTTACTGTCACTATCCAATTGACTTTCGATTAACTTCTCATTTTAGCATTTCACCAACCGAGCAAAAGTATTGAATTATCAAACCTATACCTATTAACGGTAGAAGAGTAACGTTATCTCCATACATATAAGAGATTTTTACTAGGAGTTATTTGAAATTAGGTGTGTTTATTTTATTATTTTGAGTAGTATTTTTGAAATATTATTGTTAAGTTGAGTTGGGTTATTATTACGAGATAGGATTTGAAAATTTAAAAAAAAAAAAAAAACTCTTAAGTTTGTTAATTTAGCTAAACACCCCCAATAATAAAAAAGTTTATAAATTGATAAAAAATACCCCTATCCACCCACAGTTGTTAGATTCTGACCACCACGGATCTGGTCGAAAAAAATCAAATCTACAGCTGGATTTGGCTGTCAACGACGGTCATATATTAATAGTCATTGACAGTCATACCTTTGGCTATGGATATGACAGGAAAAGGCCAGATCCCATTACGCCAAATTCCGATGATGGTTGTTAGAATTTGACAAATATAGGTGGGTGGAGGTGTTTTTATCAATTTATAAAACTTTTTTGTTAGGGGTATTTAGTAAATTAACAAACCTATGGGGGTTTAAAAAGTTGATTATTATAGACCGTAATTTTGAGAATATGGAAACAAACTTGCATTTTTTTCAAAATAAGAATAAAGTATTTTGAAAAAAACGAAACAAACGCACCCAAATTACTATTTACGCTCATTACATTTAAGGTTAAAGTTATCTGTTCAACATTTATATGGTAAAAAACCCATTATTTTTTTATTTCCTAAAGTTTCTTTATGCCATTATTTTGTTGGGTCTTTTGTTATATCCAAAACAGTAAAGATTTCCTTAATTAAACCAAATCCCTTGTGATCGGATGTTAGAACATTGGGTTCGGCTTGTTAGTGGACCTAGAGATTTTGTGTTTGATTCATCAGGGGAGTGGCCATCGACTATACTTGTGACTTATCCATGTTCGATTTATCAAGAGAGTAATTACTTATCATATTTGTGATTTATTCAATCTATTGGGTTTGTAGGGTCCGAACACTGAGGAGGACCCACATTTCTCCATCTTTCCGTCCAAGCACGATACACACAAACAAAACAAAACACTTTAGGACAAAAAAAATAAAGTAACCAAATTAAGTCTACCTTTCATATTTTTTCTCTGTCAAATCCAACCAAAACAACCACCTCTCTTTTCACTTTCCACATTTTATAATACCCCTCTCTACTCCCTATCACCCCTCTCGTTTCTCTCTCTCTGCAGATTCTTTCATTTACTCACTCATTCTTTCTTTCTTCTTTTTTTTTTTTTTATCTTTTGATTTTAGATCAAGAAACGATAATTATTATCCAAATGAGCAAGCCTCATAAACCCCCATCAGGCCGCACAAATTTAGCATCATGTATAGTAGCTACCATTTTCTTGATCTTTGTAGTTATAGTTGTTCTCATTGTCTTCTTCACTGTTTTTAAACCCAAAGACCCCAAGATTACTGTTAACGCCGTCCAACTTCCGTCGTTTTCCATCTCTAACAGCACCGTCAACTTCACTTTTTCTCAGTATGTCACCGTCAAGAACCCTAACAAGGCCGCCTTCACTCACTACGACAGTACAATTCAGCTCATGTACTCCGGCTCCCAAGTCGGCTTCATGTTCATTCCCGCGGGTAAGATCGAAGCGGGTCGGACCAAGTACATGGCCGCAACTTTCGCCGTCCAGTCCTTCCCGATTTCCACGGCCGCCGAAGCCAGCGCGGTGGTGGGGCCTGTGGTGACTGGCGGTGGCATAGGCGGTGCTGGTTGGCCTAATAACGGGAATCGGGTGGGACCCTCTTTGGAGATTGAATCCAGAATGGAAATGGCGGGTCGGGTAAGGGTATTGCATGTCTTTACCCACCACGTCGAGGCCAAATCTGGATGTAGGGTTGAAATTTCTGTGAATGATGGATCTGTATTAGGGTTTCACTGCTAGTATCTTCTGTTTTTGTTACTAGTTTGGAAGTTTTGTAACGGTAATGTGATTTTAGGTGATTTTTATAAAATCAAGTGTAAAAACATTCTCTAATTTAAGCAGAAGTTGGTAGGTTCTTGTTCTTTATCTTCGTTTGAGCTTGTCTTCTTCTTCTTCTTCTTTAATAATTTTAGTTGTGCTTTTGCTGCTTTTATGGAGGTTAATTAGACCATAAGTAAAGTAAAGCATAATGCAATAATAATAATAGTGAAGTGATGCAAGAGTGAAGTAATGGGTGATGATTGCTCACTTGGGTTTTGGTCCAAAATTCCAAACCCAGAAATCGAGTAAATCAAAGTGTGCTAAAAAGAAGCTTGAAATGCGGTAATATTTACTGAAGTGAAATACGGGGGTTATATCATAGTCACCGTTTTGGTGCAGGTTTGGTGGATAATGATTTGGAGGAGAAAGTGATTGGTTGATTTGGCGGTAAAATGTAACAGTTACAGTTAAAAATAGATAGAAAGTTTACTGTGTTTGCGGTAGTAGGTCAGGTCAGGTGCAGGACCAGTGGGTGGGACCAACGAGGTATGGAAGCAGCCGACCCGGGTTATCATTCAATGTCCACTGCCTTGAGATTCGAGTCTTGCTCTTTTTTTGGACTTTAAATGAGAGGGAGAGGGAGCGTGATTGTATTGTGTGTTGAATTTGTGCGATGACTACTCTACTATTTTTCTCAGTGTGAATGCGAGAGTGAGTGAGCCATTTGTCTTTGCCTGTGACTGTGACTCTTGAGTGGTAGTCTTCTCAGAAATTGAGTAAAAAGAGAATTCTGGGTGAATGGTGAAAACAGAGAAAAAAGAAGAGATATTTATTAGTGCTGGATCATGATATACATTACTGACCATCCAACTTTTATCTCTAAATCTTTTGTTTCAATCCATAATGATAATTGCGATGACTGATGAAATGCATTAACTGATTGTGTCACTCCTATGCTATCTGTAAACCGGATCAAATTCACATCAAATCACAGAACACACATGCTAAATTATTTGACCAAAAATAATAGTTACAAGCTGTCCTTTCGGTCTTAAAATGCATCATTTTAAAGAAAGGCATCTGCGCCTCCCATGGCAATGGCATGTGCCAACTGCCAACAACAAAAGAAGAAAAACCATGAACAATTTCTTAGTTTTTTTTTTTTTTTTTTTAACATTGACTTGTGTACAAAGGACAAATCTCAAATACAAGAGACCTGTCAACTGTGTACTAACAATTGGCTGAAGATTCAACTTAAAAGCCAGGGATCTAAGTTCCATAGTCCATTCGACAATGATTAAGTATTCTACAAATGGCATATACAAGATAAATCAGGACAAGGAATTGCAAAAACTCACCAAAACTATTTGTATGTGTAAAACTTGGACTGCAAGTGCAGATCAGATTTCCACCACTGGTGAATTCCATGAGCCTGTTTGAAATCTCGTGAAGGAGTTGCATTAACTGTCAGATTTGCTGATGCAATGAGGTGTAGAGGTTCTGACTCCTTTCCCATTGCATTCATAAATAGACCCCCAAGGGAGTGTTTAGTTGCCAACCTTTCAATACCTCCTGCTCCAATCTCCTCCATCTTCTTCCTATGTTCAAAATATCCAACATATTCTGAGCAGATGTGGTCGGCTGGGTTCACAAAAAGACGAGGGACCCAAGCAGCCAGCGCAACAAATGGATCCTCAGTTGCAGACCGAGTATTATGTTGATTTTTCTTTACATTTACAGCAAGAGCAAGTCCAGCTGTGATAACACTGCCTGCTATTCTAAGCCCATGCTTGACTTTCTTATCTTTAATCCTCTCAATTGGGGCTGAAAGGAATGGTGGATTAAAGAGAAAAGCTTCAAGTAAAACACCCGTCTTGGCCATAGTCTTCCCCGCAAGCATTGCCATAGCTGACCCAAGGGAATGGCCAGCCAACCAGACATTTGAATTACCTACAGAAGCAACCATGTTTCTGACAGCTTGCATAGCAATCTCAAAACGAGATGTCTGGTGGAGTCCATTTCGGATTAAGTGGAGGTCCAACTCAAGATCCCGTGTAAAAGAGTCTTGTTTGGTCAAGGTCCCTCGAAAGGCAATTACATAGCGAGGTGTTCCAGCTGTTGACAAGTTACAATTTGAAGCTGGAGGTTTGAATTCATAAATGGCACCAAAGATTGAAAAATCAGCATCATCTTTAAGCTGACGGAGCAATTGAAAGTGGAAGAACTCCCACCAAGGAGGTGCAAGAGCTTGAGATTCATAACGCTGCAGCTGACGATCTCGCTCTAGAATGTACACACCCTGAACCAAACAAGCTGCTACAGACCTTCGATGATTATCATTTGTCCTGCATGAGATAGCGCATAACAACTTAAAAAAATGAAAATAAAATTCCAAGGATATAGCGTATAGCGTCTGAAGTTCCAACTAATGAAGATTCCACCACAATCAGGATTTGTTTATCTTTACAACCCAAGTTCAATGAAGCTTGACATTGTAGCAAAATCAATATAACCTAAAACAAAATATTGCACATGGAAATTTTCATGTGGAAAAAGATTTCATAAGTTTGGAACTGTGGCTTGTTTGAATTGAGTTTATTTGTTCATCATGCTTAATAGAAGGTCTTACCAATCAAGAGTAGTCAGGTGTAAAGGCCCTGAAAGACTAAAATCTTCCCTCTCAGAGGCCATTACACCATATGATCTTTTTGTCCTTTCTTCTTGATATCTGTAAAAGCAGTTCTGCATGCACCATGAACATTGGGCAAGTTAGCAATCATAAGTGGACTCTTTCAGAAGCGACAGCATAGTTGAATAATTTATATTTTTACCACATTTTCTAGGATGAAACATGAATTCCTCACAACATGCAACTTTTAAAATTCTCAAATTGTTTCATAGAACATCTCCAGCAAATGCATTACAATAAAAGTCGGTTCACAATAGACATTCTACAGAGTCATCTAGAAGTAGCTATTTAACATACAGCAAAGTCGACCAAATCAGTAACTTTAATCACTTATGATTCTAAACAACTTTACATACATTTTTGACAGAATAATTTAGCATACCTAATCAAATCCTGAGCGTATCTAACTACACTCTGCTTTGGCATATAAATCAAGATACACTGATCAGTCCAATTTGACCGATAAAAATCCTATTAGTGAGCCATAAAATTTCCTTGGCACTATCATTTCAATACTGATTGGCAAAAATTCCATAATTTACATTTATACGCAACTACCTTCCATCCAGAACTTCTAAGTACTTTACTTCACAGCCAGTGCACATAAGCAATACATCAAAATTTAAAGAAAACCAAGTTCTATGATTTTTCCATTTTTTTTTTAATTTTTATTTTTATATCAAGCCTTATCAACTCTAAGCTATATCAAAGTCAAAAGACAATATTTATATGCTGAAACAGATTCACCCACATCCTCCAGTGTAAAAAATGTTAGCAGAACTTTTGAATTTTGAATTTTAGCGAACGCTACCAGTTAATGATTCACCCAAATTAGTATTTGAACATTGTCTTTTCACTTTGTACTCTAGTGAGAACGATTATGTGCAGGTAATCTATTCTTCATTATTTTATATCTTACTTTCATATGATATACTCTTAATTTATATCCTAAAAATAATCAATATGAATCAAAAGCAATCGAGAGGATTCACCGGATCATACAAAGAAACGGCGATCACGATCTGTCGAATAATAACAGCTATTAAATAAAAAACCGACACCTAATTCGTAGAAAAATAAAATGTAGAATAAATGAACTTAATTGTAGAGAAAATGTACCTGGATTAATTAAGAGGTTTGGCAGATCTGATCGATGACGAGCTCGAAATGTGTTAATTAGAAGCGAAGTGGTCGCCGTCAGAACGTTATAACGTCTTCGTCAATCTTCATCCAACTAAAGTACTTGAAAATTGAAATTCAACATTCAATAAGCCGCTAAAGCGAGCGCAAGGAGAACGACGACGTTTTTCGTATCTTCCAATCTTAAGGGTCAAGATAGGTCTTTTGGGTGTCTTAGGACCTAGGCCGGACTGGTGGGGGCCCTTAGGTTGCTGAGACGAAAAGATAAAGAATATTCTACCCATATTCCTAATCTTATTTCCAAAATATTATTGTTTGGTTATTTGAGAAATATTAGTATATTTTTTTAATTATATTTAGACCCTTTAAGTTTATTAATTTTATTAAATCCTTAAAAAAAGTTTAAAAATTAACAAAAACACCCTCACCCACCCATACTTGACAGATTCCAGCAACCACCATCGGTGGTAACCGGAATCTATCACAACGACTTACAAATGATCGAAAATGGCCGGTAATTCACCAATCTGACATTTTCTGACCAAATCCATAGTGGATCTGGCTGGAAAAGGCCAGATCTGGCCGTTGTTGACCCACAACGGTGACCATATCTTTGTTCGTACCTGACGGCCAGATCTAGTCGTAGATCTGGCGTGGTGGATCTAGCTGGAAAATGCCATATCGATACCCTACCCGTTAGATCTGACCTGTTTGCGTCGTAATACAATTTTTCAACGAGATTCTGGCGGTGGTGGCTGGAATCTGGCACTATGGGTGGGTGGGAGTGTTTTTGTCATTTTACAAAAAATTTATATATTAGGGTGTTTAGTAAATTAGCAAACCTAGGGGTTTTTTTTTTGTAAATTTTTAAATTTTACTTCGTAATACTCCCCTATTCAACTACCCAATATTATTTCCAAAATCCTATCCAAAATAATAAAACAAACGGACCCCTAGCATCTCTAATTTTTTTTTAATTAAAATAACAAATCTTAATTAGTCCCTGATTTTTTTGCACAACTTAAGAGACCTGAATCCTGAACTAAATAGCACCCATGATCTATATTTCCTTACGGGGTTTTTGGTTAAGGGTTACGTGGGATTACTGAGGTTATATCATCTTATATTATTTGATTACCATATTTGGTTGTCAAATAATATAAGATTTCAATAATCTTTAAATACCAATAGTAGTTACTATTGGTCATATTGGAAGTAATTTGATTACCTCCATTTTCTTAGGTATTGTAAGATTACTAAAGTAATCATTTTTTTGTTATAATTCTATCCCTTATTAATAAAATTTTAGGATAATAATACCCTTATTTTAAAATTAATTTACATAAATATGGTTTTTACCATTTCACCCTAATTAATTAACTTTTTGGATAAAATTGCCCTTGAATTCAAAACAAATTGCCCACCCAAGCCACCACCCCCACCCACTTGCTGCCGCCTGCTACCCGCAACCGTCACCAGAATGGCACACGGAAGGCTGAAAATGGCCATCATGTGTCGATATGGCCATTCTAGCTAGAGATCTGGCTGGAAATGACTAGATCATGATAGATTTGACCGGAAGACGTGCATCAACGGCCAAATTAAATCTAGTCGTTTTTCCAGTCAGATCTCTAGCCAGAAATGGCCATACGGTGCACGAAGGCCATTTCCTGCCTTTTGTGCGCCATTAGGTTGTCAGCGGCCAACGGTGGTTGCCGATGGCCGGTAGTGGCTAGCTTGGTGGGGGTGCATTGTTGATTTTCTAAACTTTTATTATGGGGTTGTTTTTGCTAAGTTTTTAAATGTAGGGGGGTTATAAATAATCTAAATAACAATATTAAATAATAATATAATAATAATATTTTTTTAGGGGACAGTTCAGTAATTTAAATAACATACCCACCAATTTATTCCTCTCAACCAAACATATTAATAAAACATACCCACCAATTTATTCTAACTAACCAAATACATTTTCCTAAAGATTCATAATAATCTTTATCTAACTTTCCAGTAATCCAATATACCTTAAACTAAACACATCCTTTTTTAGAGTAGGTGCCCTAGAGCCAATCAATTATTATAAAATTGACTCTGTAATAAATGTTTATTTATCAATAAAATGCATACTCTTCTATATCATGTATGCAATGATATATGTCCTTAGGATGGTAGAACCGTGACGAGGGTATCAAGTGTTTTAAATATTGGTAGTGAGAACCTTATGATCACATATGGTGACCATTCTAGAAACGTCTGTAGCCCAAGTATTATTCTGACCAAGGACACAGATAATACGGTAAGACTATCATAATGTTGAATGACCCTGTAGAAAGACAGTGACTGATCTCACTTGTCAAAGTTGTTTGCCGACAACCTGGTGCAATGCATGGATACTTGCTAGAGGCAAGTTCACTGGACAGACCCACCAGAGGATTCCATATGGATGGTAACCTCAATGTCTATGGAATAAATCCTCTGACAGATGGTGATGCATGTGATCCTTAGGCTTGAGATCACCGGAGCGCCTTGTGTACCAATTGGTGTAGTTTGACACTAGCCCAACGTAGTTCTATCCAGAGTTATTAATATAGTAGTGATTAGTACATTGAGAAGTGTGTCGAGACTATGGTGGATCAACAAATGATTCATCACTCCTAGGTACGGGAGAAGTTATCTGATAAAAGCTTGAAAATACATATTTTGTTAGTGATTCAATTGGATTATTTGTGGAAAAATGTGTTTAATTTGTGAAATTTAACTTAATTATTTCATGAATGTTTTTTATGGGATCACGGGTATGTTTCAAGTGTTTTCAGGTTCTTAAAGATGATATTCAGATGAAGGTTATATCGAAGATGGAATGTAGGATGAAAAGAATCAAATGGTTCGTGATTCGGAGCTGAAACAAAGAAGTTAGGCCGATTTGAAGTTAAAGTGAAAATCCTAGAAAACGCTCTAGTTTTGAACATGTGACAGTAATTTGACAATAACTTGAGTTGTAGATTTTGGATTGAGATGATTCTTGAACCGTTGGAAAGCTGATTCAAATAACTACAATTCATATGTTTACAACTTGGCAAGATTTGAACGTTATCATACTCAAAAACCACCATCTTCTCAAGAATTCGAGTTCTAGGGCAGAATCAACTATGCCTAGGCATAGTGCCGCGGCACAACTGCGATTCTGGACTTTTTTACATTAAATTTATGACATGTATTTCCTGTTTTAAGAGTTCTAAAGTGATTAGAATAGTGGGAATCATAACCCTAAAACCCTAGGAGTATAAATAGATGTCTTTAGCTGATTTTTAAGGGGAAGAAAATGAGATAAGTTCAGCGGCTCTTTGGAGATTGGAAATTCCTGCAATTTTGAGTCATCAATTAGAGAAGTTTTTCTACTCTTTCTTATACTCATGCTTATGAATACAATGACTTTTATTACTGAAAGTATGAACTAATTCTATTTTCTAGGGCTAAGATGTAGCCCAATTTTATGAATATGCATTGAATTATTTGTTGCTAATTTTTATTAAGTTTTGTTTTAAGTTTTATTATTGCGCTTAAAGCTTTCAATTCTTAAGGGCCCTAGAGTTGAATGATTTTATGGGTTAGGTTGAGATCGAGAGATGAAACCTAATTAATCTAAGGTAATAAAACCGTAGATTGAGCGAACGCTAGATATAGGTTACCGCGATCTGTGAGGCTCTAGTAAATTCCATAGAACTTAATGATCTCCAATTGCTTAAATCTGATTAGAGATAATTCGGGTTAGTAATTAGGAGTTAATTTGTTAATTGTTCGAGAGAAAGTTAGCGAAATATTAGGGAGTTTGGTCTTTAGAATAAGCTTAATTGGGTTAATGATAATTGTCAATGCATAGGATTAAATTGGTGTGAAATCTATGCCCTAGGTTTAGTCATATTGATTTCCTACTAAAGTGTTAATAAAAGTCTGTTTTTATTTTGTTTCTAAGTTGTTTTATTTTTCATTGAATCATTCTGAAAATCTAATTAATCAAATAGCAATAAGATAGGTTAGTGTGGTACTTGGTACTAGTAATTCCCTTGGGTTCGACATCCGTATTCTTACACTTTATTACTTGCACGATTTCGTACACTTGCGAAAATCAACAACAAGTTTTTGGCGCCATTGCCAGGGAATTGCTTTTATATTATCAATATCAATACAAGCAATTTAGTTGCTAATTTGGTTTGTATTTTTTTTTATTTTTTGTTTTTTGTTTTTGGTGCTTTAATTTTTATTTCTTTTATTTTTAGTGTTGAAGCGTACAGAGGAGTTTGTTTCAATGACAGATATAGGAGGAGAAGAAGTTCAAAAGGCATTTAAGGATTACTCAAGACCTACAATTGAGGGATGTGCTTCTAGTATTAGGAGACCATCGATTCAAGCAAATACCTTTGAGATAAAGCCAAACATTATTCAGATGATACAACATTCAATTCAATTTGCAGGGTTGTCTAGCGATGATCCTAATTTGCATATCGCAAATTTTCTAGAGCTATGCGATACATTCGACATAATGGGGTATCTGATGAAGCAATTTGGTTAAGGCTTTTCCCATTCTCTCTTCGGGATAAAGCTAAGGCTTGGTTAATTTCTCTACCACCCGGAAGCATCACTACTTGGAATGAGTTAGTTCAAGTGTTCTTTGTGAAGTATTTTCCGCCGATCAAGTCTGCCAAGATGAGGAGTGACATCACAAATTTTTTCCAGCAAGATATGGAGTCGCTTTATGAAGCTTGGGAGAGATATAAGGATCTCTTACAGAGGTGTCCTCACCATGGGTTACCAATATGGTCGCAAGTGCAAACATTTTACAATGGGTTGATTCCAAATATACAAGCCATGGTAGATGCTGCAAGTGGGGGAGCCTTGAATAACAAAACACCGGAGGAAGCCTATAATTTGATTGAAGTGATGGCAAGCAATAACTACATGAGGCCTTCAAAGAGAAATTCAACAAGGAAAGTAGCGGGAGTGCACGAAATTGATGGCTACACCGCGTTGGCTGCTCAACTTTTAACCATCCAAAAGCAATTAGGAGTTGCCCTAAAGGTAAATGCTA